CCCCCCCCCCCCCGCTGGAATGATCAGACTAGCAGGGGCGAGGGCCTGAGGGGAGACAGAGGTCAGTATGGACCTCTCTGGGCAAGAATCAGGGAGAAGGGGGGCTTGACTTCTTCCTGAGAGACTGGGAGGTGATGGGTTAGCAGAAGTGGAAAGCACCTTCTGGGCATGGGGAACAGCATGAGAAAAGGCATGGAGACAGGAACGCTAGGTCAGGGAGGAGATGCACCAGCCTGGGACGGTGATTCCAAAGAGAGCAAAGGAAGCCGGGGACAGAATTTGAGCATCCTATATAGATCCCACCCAGAGGAGTTCAGACTTATTTGTTGGGTAGCTGAAGCCCACACCTACCACGATCTAGCCCCCTCAGCTGGCCTGGACTGTTAAAGGCCATGACTGTCCTTCCTCCAGAGTCCTAAACCCCCTCCTACAGCCCATCAGACCCTGACTTGGGGGCCCCATCCTAGCCTGACTGCCTCTGGCCATCACACTGGCCCTTGAAGTTTGCTTTATAGGGATTGCCTGGCACTCCCCAACACGGAGGCTAGGGACACGTCTTCTCCCTCTGCTGCCTTTCCCCCACCCCGCAGCCCTGCGCGTTCCCACCTGTGATCCCCTTCTCCGAGCCTTCTCCCAGTCCTGCATCCTCTCCTCTCCCCTCAGCACCTGCTGACATGTAAGCTGGGGACGCAGAGAGTCCAGGAGCCCAAGGATGCCCTGCAAAAACTGCAGGAAATGGATGCTCAGGGCCAGGTGTGGAGCCAGGACTTGCTCCTGCAGGTCAGGGATGGCTGGCTCCAGCTGCTGGACATCGAGACAAAGGTCAGCCTCCCACCATTCCCCACAAGGGATCATAGCTGACCCAGGCCATGGGAAAGCAAGCACCAGGCATGAATGCCATCGATGCATGTCCCACATGGCAACCACCCCTCCCCATACACAATACATACCCAGGACTAGGAAGAAACGGGGGACAGAGGCACAGGAATCAGGGGAGACGACGCCCCATCCCAGACCACTAGAAGGGTGGAGCAACCCAGGTCAGGAGCTCCCAGGAGTCAGCCTGGCTCTCAGTGACCTCACAGCTGACCTCTCTGCCTGGCCCAGGAGGAACTGGAATCTTACCGCCTGGACAGCATCAAGGACATGGACGTGGCACTCAACACCTGCTCCTACAACTCTGTCCTGTCCATCACTGTGCAGGATTCAGGCCTGCGAGCCACTAGCACTCTGCTTTTCCAGTGCCAGGAAGTGGGGGTGAGTAGGTGTGGAATCCGACAGCCATCACCCCCCCACTCCTCCCCGACCCCCCATCCCCAGCCTGTCTGACTGCTGCTTCCTGCAGGCAGAGCGACTGAAGACCAGCCTGCAGAAGGCTCTGGAGGAGGAACTAGAGCAAAGGTAGGCAGCCTCTGCCCCAGCCCACCTGCAGGACCTCAGAGCTCAGGCCTGGGTGGGCCAGGCCCTGCCCCACATCGGGGGGAGCCCAGGAGCCTGTGGCCCAATAACATAGGCATAGACCTGGGGAGGGGCCAGGCTGAAATAGGGCACAGATGGGCATGGGGAAGGGGCTGGGGCGGGGCCCAGTGAACACTGGAGGCTGGCCTCGGAGGCTGACGTGGGACGAACTGGTCCCGGAGAGCAGGCAGATGAGGCACGGGAGAGTCAGGGAAGGCTTCAGATGGAGACCAGGGAGCAAGGCTGGTTGGGCTCCTGGAGAGAGGGAGTAGTACCCTCGGGTCCTGGGGCAGAAGGGTGGGCAGTGCCTCTGTCCCAAGAACCCTGTCAAAGCTGTGTCCCCACCATGTGCTCACAGGCCCCGATTCGGAGCCCTTCTCCCAGGTCAGGACAGATTCAGGGGGCCTCTTCTGGAAAGGCCGATCCCTAAGGAGCAGGTACCTCCACTGGAGTGCGGACCTCGTCCAGAACAGCACAACTGGATGACTCCGGAGCACAGTAAGTTTGCGCGTGGGGGCCAGTGGGAGGAAAGGATTCCCATCAAAAATCAAAGAACTTCTGGGCCATGGTTCCCTTCCATTGCAGACACACCACCATCCCCAAGGCCCCTGCCACACCACTCCAGCATCCAAAGGTCAAGTGCCTTCACTTTGCCTCCTTCGAGGAGGTCCCCATGCCCCGGGGACCCAGAATGGAATAAGGTAACTGCAGATTGTCTTGGGCTCGTTGCGGATTTTTGGTCCTGGCCCAAGGGAGGACACCAGTCGTCTCCCTCACCCCAAGGAGCCAGGTGCCAGGATGACCAAGGCAGGGCCTGGGCTGAGGAGGGACACGGAGCCTTGGTCAGACCCTGGGCTGGGCCTGAGGCTCAGGCTTGTGGTAGGAGGGGGCAGGGGGGTCAGGGTTGGGAGTTCCAGGGTGGGCCCAACTGCCCACTCAGACCATGGGTTGTTTGGGGTCCAGGAGGTGCTGAGCCACGTCCTAAGAGACATCGAGCTATTCATGGGAAAGCTGAAGGAGGCCCAGTCAAACACCAGTCATAAGAAGAAGAGACAGAGGAAGAAAAAGATAAAGCATCAGGGGGGTGAGTGTTGAGGGCCAGGGGAGAGGAGTAGGGGGAGAGTCTTGGGCTGATCTGTGACCCGCCACCTTCCCACTTCTCTCTATAGGGATAACAGAGGCACATTACATCGACTGCTTCCAGAAGATCAAGTACAGCTTCAGTCTCCTGGTATGTGGCTCCCCACAAGTTCCCCAGCCCTTCCTCCAGCCCCACCTCAGCAGCCCCCTCCTCTCTTGTCTCATGGACATTCCAAGCTTCTCCAGCTTCTCCCCACTCTTGGGACTCTTGGAGAAATGCCTGGCTCCCCATCAAGGCCCAGAACAATGGGGCCCTGGGGTCCTGGTGGGAGGAAGGGTGGTAACAGGCTTCGCCCTGTGTCCTCAGGGAAACCTGGCCATGATGCTGCAGGATACAAGCGCCCCTGAGTTCGTACACCTCCTCTTCCAATCTCTGAACTCCGTGAGTCGGGGGAGGACAGGGTGGTGCAGAGGGACATGCTGAAGTTAAGATGAGACAGAGGCCGGGGTGGGAGGTAGGGGGCAGAGGGAGTCTGTGGATCTGCCCCTTGCTCACCCCAGCACATTCTGCTCCTTGACCCCAAGACGCCATCCCCACTATGCACTGTCCTTGACCCCAAGGACAGTGGGGGCAGGAAGGAGCAGGCCTGGGGCAACGTGGTATTGCAACAGTGGGAAGCCAGGGACCCCGGGCCCTTCTCCACTCCTGTCTGGCCCTGCAAGAGCCCAGGCTTCCTGAAACCTTCTGTCCCTCCCCAGATCCTGGAGCAGTGCCCTGAGCCTGGCCTAGCAGCCCAAGTGGACTCACCCCTCCTCACCACCAAGGCCATTGATCTGCTGCAGTCCTGTCTAAGCCCACCTGAGAGTAACCTCTGGAAGAGGCTGGGCATAGCCTGGACCACCAGCCAGTAAGTGACGACAGAGCCTGAATGAATCAGAGGCAAGGGACATGGGGGCATAGGGCAGGACACACAGGGCAGGAGGTGGCAGGCTCTACATTGTGTCTTAAAACAAACAGAAATTCTGTACCCATTAAACAATTAAACAAAACTCTGTACCCATTCTTCCCACTCCCTAGGCCCTGGTAACCTCTATTCTATGAAACATCTCAAAACAAATTGAAGGACTCTACCTGGAGTGTCCAACTTTCAGTTAGGCTAAGTACAAACAATGAAAACAAAACAAAACCACCACTTACCATCACCCACCACTGAAGGAAAGCATTATTTCAGAAAAAAAGAACAATTCTTCCCAAGGAAGGAGAGTTGGAAACCTTCTACTAAAATTTTTCTCATTTTTGTCAAGGACAAAGTGAAAACTCTGTCTCAATTCCTGCCCAGATTTTAACAATTACTGACGTAAGAGATGCTGCAAATGTAACATCAATAAGAGTTGCAACCCACCAGCCAAGGAGCTAAGAGAGAAAGAGATATTCCACGCGGGTGGAACCGTGAGATGGGCAGTTGGGCAGCAAGGCCAAATTGATGACAGCTGTGGGGAGGGGAGGCTGAAACCAGCTTGGATATGCTGAGCTGAGGTGTCAATGGAACCTTCACAGAGACAGGGTGGCCTGGGCTTTGGGGGAGAGGTCCGACTTGGCTACAAGAGTTTGAGAACAGTCAGTACAGAAGTGATATTTGGGGCCACCTGGAGGTAAGCACTGTGGTGGGAGCTCCAGAGCTCACTTTAACAAGCATGGTCTGCTCTCCCCATGAGAGAAGGGCCTGGGGAAACTTCAAGGTGGTGAAAGGAAACAGGGTTAAGGAGGCAAAGAGAAATTCCAGAGAGTTAAAAGGAGAAAGAAAAAAGCAGAAGCATGAAAACCAAGAGAGAAGAGGGTTGGGTTTTTTTATATAAATTTATTTATTTATTTTTGGCTGTGTTGGGTCTTCGTTGCTTCATGCAGGCTTTCTCTAGTTGCGGCGAGCAGGGGATACTCTTTGTTGCGGTGCATGGGCTTCTCATTGCGGTGGCTTCTCTTGTTGCGGAGCACAGGCTCTAGGCGCACGGGCTTCAGTAGTTGTGGCACGCGGCCTCAGTAGTTGTGGCTCGCGGGCTCTAGAGTGCAGGCTCAGTAGTTGTGGCGCACAGGCTTAGTTGCTCCGCGGCATGTGGGATCTTTCCAGACCAGGGATCGAACCCGTGTCCCCTGCATTGGCAGGCAGATTCTTAACCACTGTGCCAACAGGGAAGTCCAAGAAGAGGGTTTTAGAAAGAGAAATCAACTGGGAAAAAAATCCAGTGGTTCTAGGATTCTTTTCGCCTAATGAGCAGTTTTTTTTTTTTCCAGTTCAGCCCCATTAAAGGATTTTTGTGTCCAATTCATCTAAAGACATAAATTATAACTTAATGTAATCAATTTATTTTATTGTGGTAGAATATACATAGGATAAAAGTTAGTTAAACTATTTTTAAGTGTATACTTCAATGCCATTAAGTACATTAACCATGTTGTACAACCATCACCACTATCCATTTCCAGAAATTTTTCAGCATCCCAAACAGAAACTCTGTACCCATTAAACAATCAACCAAAACTCTGCACCCATTCCTCTCTTTTCCCAGCCCCCTGGTAACCTCTATTCTATTTTCTGATTCTGTTTATTATTTTAAATATAAAATTAAGTCAGATGTGGCCTAAGATGTTTTCTCATTTCTTAAAGTAACCAAAAATGAACAAATGAATGAAATGAAAGACAGAAACACAGAAAATAGAATAACTAAAGTGTTGTAAAAACTCTCAAAATAGTTAAATTTCAGGTAAATTTTATTCAGGTTATTTGATTTTAGGCAAATTGACCCAAAACTATAAATAACACTAAATTCTGTGGTAATCCAGAAGGATATAGACCACACAAGGCCACTGGATCTGGCAGTCAGATTATCAGGACTTTAGAAGAGCTAGTTTCAACAGAGCAGTGGCAGAGGTAAAAGTCAGGTTGCAAGGCATAGTGAAAGAACCAGAGGTAAGAAAATGTAGGCAGGACTTATGGACATGTCCTCAAAAAACTGGACAAAGATAAGGGAATAGAATGACAGCTTAAAAGGCAGAGTAACAGAGTCAAGGGAAGACTTGAGCATGTTTTTAGGGCAAAGAAAAGGAGCCGATAAAAACGATTCAGAAGGGGAAATAATTTACTTGTCCCCGTTGAATAAATTAGCTGCCTCCTGTGTCCCATGCACTGTACTATGGATACAGCTCTCAAGGAGTTCAACATAAGTAAGAAACACAGACATGTGAGAATCATGTGCAATTCAGCGTGAGAGGAGCAATAATCCAGGGTGTCTGGAGTTCAGCAGCAGTGCAAAGAGGGAGCATTCACCTCTGCCTCCGAGAGGTAGGGACGGGGGACTTCCTCGAAGAGGGGACTTGGCATTCCCCAGGCCGGCAAGCAGAGCATGACTGGAGACCACCAACAGTGTGCTGCTCCTCCTGCGTGCTAGGCAATGAGTGAGGGGGAGGCTGAGTGGCAAGTACCAGCTCCCACCCTAGAGCCAGCCAGAGTGCTGTGCTGCGATCACAAGGCGGAGCTCCACATACTAACCCGCTAGAAAGTAAGAGATCTGCTGCTGGGAACTATAACCAGTTAGACCCCGCGGGGGTCTTCCAGCCCTAACGCTCTGCGGTTCTACCACTTTCAGTCAAACCCCCCATCAGTGAGATAAAGTACTCATCTCTTCTGGTGTTGATATGTCTGCACTTTCACGGGCAGAGGTGAGGCTGGCCCATGGATACCTGCACTGTGGGATTTGTACATGCTTAGCTGTTCGCTCCTATGTGGGTGTGCTGGGGCCTTTGATCAGTGCACATGGGCCACGTCCTCCACTACCTAGAAGATTCCCCAGGCTAGGCCCTGTCATCTCCGCCCTCTCCACATCCCACAGCCTGGCACAGAGTGGACTCAGCCTTGTTCTTTCTCCAGGGACAACTGGACAGGCAGTGAGCCCCTGCCCTACCAACCCACATTCTATGACGGTTGGCAGCTTCCAGAACCTTCCTACCAGGTAAGGGGAGCTTAGCACAGAGTCCTAGTCAAAGCCCTAGTCTCTGGCTGGTTTCCACTATCTCAGTCCAAACCATGGTCACGTCACACCTAAGTGGTAGGTGGGTTCTGTGTGGTGGGCAAACAGGTGAGGGGATATGAGGCAGCTGTGCGCAGGGGCGTCTGTGGTCTCACACCCCACCTCCCTACCACCACGCTGGCTGACATCCTGCTCGTACTCTGTTCTGCCCCTACAGGCACCTTCGAGATACCAAGACCCTACTTCTATCCGGTATGCCCTGGGCTTAGTCAGGACCATACGGTTCTGGGGAGGGAGGGACAGGGCTGATCCTGTGGATCTGTGGATTCTACGTGTCACTGACCTCCGGGCTCTCTTTTAGCCAGGCACGTATATGTACAGGCACATCCCTCCCCTACCTTGGGTGAAGAGGCAGTTTTTTACCTTCCTAGGCTCCAACCCCTTCTTCTTTCAATACTCCCCACACATACCTCTGATTTCCCAGAGCTTGAGTATTAAGTGCTCAAAGGAGAGCTCAGATACAGAAAATTCCACTGCTGGAAGAGTCCTGAGAAATCAACATTTCAGACCCCTTCTGCTTATAGAAACCCACACCCCAAGCCCACCTAACAAGGACCTGCCCTCAAAATCTGTGGAAGCCCAAAGTCACCGTCAGACTCCAAGGGGGAGATATCTGGGGCTCTGGGGCTGAGACAGGGGCCCAGTCTCTGAGGCCCTGCTCTCCGGCCATCCTGACTCTATCTCCAGGGGTAGTGGGGGAAGCCCTAGGTTAGGGAGCAACTCGCACTTTGCTCAAGAGGAGACACACAACCACGGACCCCACCCTGTGCCCTCCAGACCCGGACCTGTCAAGCCAGCCCTGAAAATGCAAGTCCTATATGAGTTTGAAGCTAGGAACCCACGGGAACTGACTGTGGTTCAGGGAGAGGTACTGGAGGTGAGGCATGGGCTTGCGCTGATAAAAGGAGGTGGTGGTTGGTGGGAGCTACTGGGAGCGTGGCGTGGGTGGCCTAGAGAGGGAGAGGGAAGGTGGGGAAGGGCCAGAAGGGAGAAAGCCTGGTGGGGGAGGGGCAAGGCTGGTCGTACAGAGGTTCGGGTCCCCGCTGGACTGACTCTTGGCAGGTTCTGGACCACAGTAAGCGGTGGTGGCTGGTAAAGAATGAAGCGGGACAGAGCGGCTACATCCCCAGCAACATCCTGGAGCCCCTGCAGTCGGGGTTCCCTGGAAGCCAGAGCAAGTCGTCCCCTCCGGTACTACCCAGCCTAGACTATTCAGAAGCTATAAAGCCTGAGTCAGAGGTGGGGGCAGGGAGGATCCAGTGACAAGTGGAGGAGATGGTCCCGGTTCAACTTAATCAGTATTATCACACGCTTACTGTATCCTGAGTTTATTCGTGGGACCAGAGCAGAGAACAAGCCTTGTGCCTATCAGACAAGTGAACCATGGAGTGAGACAAGTGATCTGATGGAAGCCCAGAGAAGGGACCCAGATGATGGTGGCTGTAGGTGGCTCTGAGATGAGATGGCCTCTGACCCCCACTTCCCCTGATTCTAGGCTCCAGGGCTTCGACTTAGCTCAAGGCCTGAGGAGGTCACAGCCTGGTTGCGGGCAGAGAACTTCTCCACTGTGTGAGTGCCAAGTCCCATGGCTTTACCTCTGTAAAGGGCTCAGATAATAATCAGGCACCCCTCCCCATCACAAGAGTCTCTTCCAGGGCACTTCTCCCTTCAACCTCAGGAGCTATGAAATTAGTTTCAGCCAATATGTTTATCTTACTCCCTGGCCTCCAGACACCCTTTCTGTGAGTTCTTCTGTCACCCCAGTCTACAAGCCCAAACAGCCCCTTCTCCACACAGACACCCAGGCCCAGTCCTTCCGCCCCACCACTGACAGTTTCTGCTGTTTCTGTTCCCAGCACAGTGAAGACTCTCGGGTCCATGACAGGGCGCCAGCTGCTTCACATGAGACCTGGGGAGCTACAGATGCTGTGTCCCCAGGAGGCCCCACATGTCCTGGCACGGCTGGAGGCTGTCAGAAGGATGCTGGGGGTGAGGCCACTCTGGGATCCTGACCCCCGCTGGAAATGTGGGATGATCCCTGAGTGAGAGTGTCAGGTGGACAAGCCAGCAGCCCCAACCCTGGGATGGCACTCAATGTGTCAGGTCTGGCCACAGGACAGTCCCCCAGGGGCTTGATTTCATGTGCTCAGGCATGCCTTGAAGCTCCTAGCTGATCGTTGGCGTCAGCTCTGGGATCCCTCACCTGCCACCAGCCTCACCTCAACCTTTTCTTTCCTCAGATGAACCCTTAGGCAGCAACTCAAACACCTCCAAGACCAAGACTTTCTCACAAGCAAGATGGCAGATCTGATAACTCTTTAGAGCCCCGAGAATTCTTCTTTCAGGCCGCCAGGTTGCAGCGAACCCCACACCCCAGCTCACACAGCAAAGAAGATGAGCAAGCCCAGAGGCTGAGACAAATGGTGCCCCTTCTCGCTGTGTTGAGAGCTCTCCCCAGTTGCCACCTATTTATTGCCTCTCTTTCCTGAGCCTGGAGCACTTAAGCCTAGGTTTGTCAGGACTCTGTTTAGCCCCCTTCCTCCCCAATAAAAGTATCTTCAAGCTTGTCATGCGTCTCTCTTGCAGCTTCCTCTGGCCCTGATGGGGGCCAAAGGCAGAGAGTCAGGAAGAGCTGGGACACTGGGCATGAAACAGCAGCTACCCTACATCCATCACTGGGCCAGACTGTTTGAATGTGAGTGGGAATTCACCGGAGCTGAGCCAGAATTTGACAATTATGGTCCAAGCTCTCCTTACTTTCTAAACAAACTCCAAAATAAGGCTGTCCTTGACACCTTTATCCTTCTGTGTACACTTCGTCCAGTATATTCCAAGGCACCCAGCACAGCTGAGGACACAACACTTCACAGGAGCAAGGAGTACCAGGACTGACAGTGGTAGGTTTTGATCAGCCATACTGGCTGGTGATCCAGAGACGCACTAAAAAAGCATGTCAGGTGGTCCACGCTCTACTTGGCAACTTTCTTTTCTAATACTTTTGTCCCCTCCTGTTGGGTGAGCTAACTTTGAGCCCCCTCCCCAGCTTGTCTCTTTAGTGGCAGAGCATAGGGAACACTGGACTGGAACATTGGACTGCCTGTGTGAACTCTGGCAAGTCATTTCACTCTCTGGCTTCCTTTTCTCTCAAACGTTAAGTGAAGAGCCTGCACTGTCTGTGGCTTCTAATGTTTAGTATACATAGCCTTCTTTAATCTCAGAACTGTCACAGACTGCCCTCCCTACAAAACAGAGGTTGTACTTTCATTGATTTAGTCTACAGATAAGGCTTGATGTACTTATGGATTAAGGGTCCTTAAGATGTTCCCTTAGTCTCTCTTAATTGAATTTGTCCATGACCCTAACACTGCCAGAATATTGTATTTTTCAACTGCCTATGTCATCCCCTCAAGTTCCTGGCCTCCGAAAATCACCTCTCTTAGCTGGTAACACTGAATAAGAAAGCAAACATTTTCCCTCACAAAATAGAAGAAAAGTGAGACCCTTAAGGTTTGACTTTCAAGGGCAAAAGTTAACCAGAAAAGTTAATTTGGGGGAACGGGGAGAGGAGATATTGACACATTGCCTTCTGGGGCTTCATGGAGCTGAAGCAGTCCTAGAAACAGGGAAACCCTCCAGAACCAGATAAAAAAAGTATGCTCCCCAGATTTCCCAGCAAGGACTGAGATGAGGTGAGACTGCCTGGATATCCAAGCGCATAGGAACTAGCACAAATTGGGCTGACAGACCTAGGTTTGAATCCCAGGCCACCCGTGGAAACCTGAACCTGGGAAGGCAACTCACCCAACTTCTCCAGGCCTCAATAATCTTAATGGGCATAAAACCTACTTCACAAAGTTGTTGTGAAGCTTAAATTGCAATAAATTAGTAACATACGTGAAATACCTAGACTATTGGCTAGCATATCATAGGTGTTTAGCATATCATAGGTGTTCCGTAAGTGTTAGTCTTATACCCAAGTTAATTTGTGACTAGTCTGTTATCTTAGGAGGAGAAATCAGGCATTATAAATGCGTCTGTCCCAATGTGTTTGTACTTTTTTCCTTTCTTCTTTTAGTGAACTGTCCTTTTAAAAAGTCTCACCTGGGCTTCCCTGGTGGCGCAGCGGTTGAGAGTTCGCCTGCCGATGCAGGGGACACGGGTTCGTTCCCTGCTCCGGGAAGGGAGAGGCCACAATTGTGAGAGGCCCGCGTACCGCAAAAAAAAAAAAAAAAGTCTCATCTTTGCTTCAGCCAAACTAAGGGGGAAATGTGAGTTCCCAAACCCAGGCTAGGGGGTCTTAGAACACAGGGGCTCTGTGTTCTAAGTGGCTGTGCTGTAGAGGCCAGTCCAGACACCTAACAAGCAGCTCCGAACTCCTCTCCATCCACCCTCAATGCACACGCCAAAGACAGAGATTCCCTGGTGGTTAGTCTCAGTCGCCTCCTGGTTCTTGCCCACCTCCCCCCAAACCCCCCACACCCGCTAGATAAATATTTATGGCATGAATCGCACTCTCCCGGGGTAACCAGGGCCCTCACCGCCTAGGCTGTTAGGGCTCCTCCCACCCTAATTGGCACTAGTAAACAAACACAGTTCTGCTTCACGCGTGGAGAATGCAGAGACCCAAACCCAGGTCCGGGTCACGCTCCTCCCCTGCCTAGCCCGGCGACGGTCCGCCCCCAACCCCAGGGACTGCAGAAGTCGCGCCTGCGCGTGGCCAGGTGGACACTCGGAGGGAGGGGAAGACGACGGTGGGGGCGGAGTCAGGCGCGCGCGTTGGTGCCGCCTACTTACGTCGGGTATAAAGCCCCTCCCGTTGGCCATCTATCCCCAGTCCGCGAAGGCACGCACTCAGTAACGGGATGTCGTCGAAGTCGACCATGATTTTGGGTTACTGGGATATTCGCGGGGTGAGTGCCGTCTCAATTGCCAAGCCGCTCGGTCTGGTAGACGGACGCGGAGGTGGCTGGGGGCTCACGGTCAGTGGTCTCCGAGAGAAGGGGTTCTACTCGGGGGCCAAACCTCCTACGCCGCGACGCTTAACGCAGCGCGGCCGGCCCCAGCCGAGCTCCCGGGCCGCGGAGGCCGACCCCTGCCCCGCCTCTGGACACGCTGGCCTGGGGGAGTGGGGCTGAGGGCAGCAAGCCCAACGTGGTAGGTCTCAGGAGCCGTTTAACTACCCCCTCGGCGGGATGCAGCGTCTGGGCAACCCTGGGCCGGAAGGGGGCGGGGGCATTGGCGGGCGGGGTTTGGGGGTGCCGTTGGGAGCTGTGCAGATGCTGACGGGGAGCTTTTTTACTCCCCAGCTGGCGCATGCCATCCGCATGCTCCTGGAGTTCACGGATACAGCCTATGAAGAGAAAAGATACACGTGCGGGGAAGGTAATGCCCCTCTGGGTGGCAGTGCGACGCCGCGCTAAGCCGAGCAGGCCCTCCAACTGTCCCTGTCTTCTTCTGCCCTGAGGGTGGCATCACGACGAGGTCGGGTGGGACTTCTGCCCCAATCACCTGGGAGCTCTCTGCTGTGTCCAGTGTGGGGAGAGAGCTGGGGATTCTCCCTCTGCCATAGCCCAATCCTGTCTTAACACTTTATGAGTAATAGTTAAGCTTTGGGGGCCTAAGTATGTGAGGTATTGGAATTAGGGTGTGTCTTTAGATCTTTCCACTCTCCTCAGGTCGGATATTAAGGAGGTTGGATCCCACTTCATTCCCTCTCTTACAGCTCCTGACTATGATAAAAGCCAGTGGCTGGATATGAAATTCAAACTAGACCTGGACTTTCCTAACGTAAGTGGCTTTAGGAGAAGAGGGAACAGAAGGGAAGGCCTTCAAGTATATCCTTGCTCCTTTCCTCTCTATTCTAGGGGGATCTAGAACATGGGCTCTTAACCTGGATAGAATAGGTAGAATTCAGGGGTCCTTGAACTTAGATGGAGAAAAAATTACATTTTCATTTCCACTAACTACTAACTAAAAGTTAACAATTCCTTCTGTTGTGAGTATAGGCAATCAGTGACCTTGGTTATTTAGCCATGCCTGTGGCTTTGTCACTAGTAGAAAATGGATATTTTTGTATTATATTCATGTGTTGCAGATATTATAAATAAATATTATTTACACTTATCATATTTTGAAAGTATGATAGTTATTACCTCTTGTTATTTAATGCATTCATAGGCACATATTACTCTTACAATTTTGTTCTTTTAATATTATATAAATCGTGTAAATATATGTAATTTGCCTTATGCATTTAAAAACCTTATTCTAAGAAAGGGTCCAGGGCTTCCCAGGTGGCACAGTGGTTAAGAATCCGCCTGTCAATGCAGGGGACATGGGTTCGAGCCCTGGTCTGGGAAGATCCCACATGCCACGGAGCAACTAAGCCCCTGGGCCACAACTACTGAGCCTGTGCTCTAGAGCCCATGTGCCACAACTACCGAAGCCCACACGCCTAGAGCCTGTGCTCCACAACAAGAGAAGCCACCACAATGAGAAGTCCACACACTGCAACGAAGAGTAGCCCCCGCTAGACACAACTAAGGAAAGCCCGCGTGCAGCAACAAAAACCCAATGCAGCCAAAAATAAATAATTAAGGAAAAAAAAAAAAGAAAGGGCCCATGGCATGCACATACGCGCGCGCACGCGCGCACACACACACACACACACACACACACACACACACACACACACACACACACACACACACACA